TAAATGGTGGGGCATTATAAGCACTGAATTTCAAGGCCAAAGATATTTTGTTGGTGCCAAAACATTGATTCTTACACAGATGAAACTGAGGCCTTTGCCTGAGCCATTGTGGCCAGCAGCTCAGTAGTCAGGAAGCTTGTGTAAGAAGTGCAACAAAGTGCTGTTCAGGTGCTTTTGCCTGATTTTATCAACACACAAAATATATGCTTTTCCTCTCTCATCTTTACTGTGTCACTTAGTTGTCAGTTAACAGACTGCTCCAAAGCCTTGTTGAATTGCTCCTGAGCAAGTCGGTTCATTTTACAGAAGTTAAGTATCCATTGACTATGCACTGGGGAAAGTATTTTGGCGTAGGAGGGAGAGTTTATCATTTTGAGAAATCTCTTTCTTGCCAACACTTGACAAGAAGTTTATTTGAAATCCAAAAAGCTTTTTGTGAAATGAAAAGTTTTCTTCATTGCACAGAGAATGTTACTGAGTTTGCTAATGAACAGGAAGAGAAGGTTCAAAAATGAAAATGGCAATGTAGGAAATTATTTCCCAACCTTGAACCAAGGGAGATCTTGTTCCCTTGGTTCCATCAAACCCGTAACATTCCCTTTGGACACAGATAGTCTTTGTTAGAGTTGAATAGCTCTAACAGCATCAAATAAGCTTTGCATCTGCTAAAGCCTGCCTCCTGGTCAGCTTGTTCTAGCCATGGGCCATACTCAATTATGAATTACAAAAATAGGTTTTCTTTCAAATTATATGTTACAGTGTGAACATGTATTATTTACCTAAGTTTAACAAATTAACTGGAGATCAAACCGTGCAAACCTTGCTATTCAATTTCTCAGAATTCTGCTTTCATAAGGGAATGTAGGGATTTTATGGGCATTTTCTAAAACGAATTTTTCGATCATAAAGCATCTGAAGCATTAAATAAAATGTTATGAACTTGTTATACATCTCAAGGTGAGGGGAGTCTTTGAAATGTATTCTGAAATTAGAGACTATTTGCATAATTTATACACTGAGTATTCATAAAAATGACTACAATTGAAAATCACCTGTCATCAAAAGTAAAAGCACAGAAACAATGGCCAAGACTGAGGCAGGGAAATGGTGTTATGGATGTTATTTCCTAAATATTTTCTAAGGAACAGTTTCTACCAGTTACTGAGGAAATTAAGGAAAAGTGACAAAGCAACAATCATTTCCAAGTAATAGTTCTTTTTTCCTTTCATTATCTGTGCTGTCTGCCCTCAGATCTCCTGCATTGTTCAGATTTCAAAACATTTCCTGCTGAAATAGACAAGCAGGAGATATTCCACACAGTAAGGAGGAGAGCTCTGCTCCTGCAGCAGTCTTACCTGGGGCAGCTCTAGAGTCTGCTGCTAGATGCTGGTCCTGAATAGCCAGGGAAGTCTTCATTACTTACGGATAATTTTTCTAGGCTCAGAACTTGGCTTGGGTAAACCTGTGAAAACTGGGCTATAATTTAATTGTAATGAGCTGCATATTCTATTTGTTTTCTTTTCTTACCTCCTAACTTCCTTAGCAGGACAATATTACTACCACTTGCCTTTGGAAACACTTTTGGCTCATCTGATTTTTCCTCTCTGCTCTGCTCCTGCCAAAGGTTGTCTCAAGAGCACCTGTTCTGTCTTCTGCAAGCATCTTATTATTAAACATGAGTCCTGAGTAGGATTTACACACTTCCTCTAGAAACGCAGGAAGCTTGTGTCAGTTCTTACTCTTTCACAGACACATGTCAGCTTGTCAGGGACTATTGTTTATTAATAATTTAACAGAGGAAACCTGACAGGATTGGTCTCTTGGTGATACAATATGAATATTTAATAATGACATGATGATACATTTCTATTAACACAGCTGGTATTCTACACTTAAGCACGATGGGATAATAGTTCTCTTTATGACTACACAGTGATTAATCTATTTATGTAATAGGTGAATGTCCAAAGCTACAGTAAACAGTACAGAAGAGGCAATGTCTTATGACCAAAATGGCAGAAATCCACAGTGATTTTCTCATAAAATACTGGTATTTGTGGACTCTGAAAGGTCTATTTTCTCTGATTTACATGTTTGCCTGTGCCATTTGTATGTACCCGCTCCTACTGTTTATTCATACTTTAATAGGCTAAAGAGAAATGAAATAGAAGCTCTTTCTTTGCCATGCAGTTAATTAGCTGCTGGGGCATTCTCTTCAGTGATTCAAGTGCACTCTGTCCAAGAGGTTAGTCTGACCCTGCTCATTGTCACATAGTATCAGTATTGATGGTTGCTGCTTTTTACCTATTGAAAACTCATCTTTCAGTACTTGGGTGCCTGTATGGACTGACATGACTCTATCCTGTACAGGATTTCATTTCTCCAGTGAGTACATCTCTAAAATGATAGAAAATCATAGAATCATAGAGTCTTTTGAGCTGGAAGGGATTCTTAAAGGTCATCTAATCCAACTCCAAATTTGAATGGCAATTCTACTGAGTTTTAAACTGCCAATTTATAGCTTTATGACAGAGTAAAGGAGTCATGCAAGAGTTTAAGCTAAGGATGGACAAAATGAATCAGAAAGCATAGGGACACTCAATCATAATAACTCCTAAATTAACTCTTTTTGTGGAATGCAAACATCTCTATAGGCCACATAGAGAAAGGGAAAGAGGAGTCCGGCTGGTAGCACCTCAGTCTTCCTCCTTCTCTTACTTGCTGTGGCATGTGACAGGAGGAAGGCTCAGCAGCACAGTTCATAAGTACCTGCCCTATTGCATCTCTTCCAGAGTTCTTAAAATATCACCTGGGGAAAGTCCATTAACCTGATTCCACATTAGAAAAGAGAAGAAGATTATGAGTTGTTCCACTGACTGCCGTGGGATACTTTATGGAACAGGGTATAGATTGCTAAAATTAAGAAAGCTTAAACTCCCCAAAATCACTGAGAGGAAGAGAAAAAACAATCTTTGTCATTCTCTTTCTCTTTTTCCTTTATTGGCATCTTCTTATGTATAAAGTTGTGCAGTTGACATGTACAGGAAACAGTATTTTTTTTTCCTTTAAAAATACACCTTTGCCTATAAAACCAATTATTTTCTAGTCTTTCTAAGTAGTATTGAACATAGGTTTTTGAAACTGGACCAGATTCAGGTCAGAATTAGAAAATTGTTTAGTCTTTTTTCTTTCAATTCTGTGTTTGAATTTATGTAAATGACAAAACCAAGCCAACAGTTTGTAACATTATGATCAAAAGTACTGCTTTTTCTCTGCTTATTTTTTTTTACTTTTCTGTTCAGATCTTTGTTCAGTAGCTCATGCCAGTTCTCGGTATATTGGAGCAGAAATACTCCAATTAAATAAGGCGCTTTTCTACAACCATGCCTCAAAAATCCATGCTGGTCAGTCAAGTGGGGTGAACTGGGCATTGTACAGCAAGGACAGGCATGTTCTCAGTTGTGCACAGAGACGTGCAACTTGTTAAGTGCAGAAAAGCAGGTGCTTTAGCATATACATAGAGATACACTTGATACAAGACCTGCTATATACCGTCTCTGAGCTGCTTTGAAATCTGGGGCCCACAGGCTTATGCTCGCAATGCATCTAATATATGTGCAAACATAAAAGTAGTCTTTCCCTCCCTTTCTTCTCAACTTGGAGGAATATTCTAATTAGTTATTGCAGGCAGGAGGAGAAAGGGAAGAAATTTGGAACAAGGGAAATGTGTGTCTGTTGACTTTGCAGTAGCCCTGTCAAAAAAATGTATTCTACTTTTAATACATATCATTTGGAAGCAAAGCTCCTTTTAAAATGCTTCAGAACTCATGTCCTTTTTAATTGCCTGGAATTCATTGTGGCTGTGTGAGAAAGCCATAAACATATACAATCATAAAAACACATTTAGACAACCCAAACAGAATCAGTGCCATATTATTTTAGTTTATTATTCCTAGTGGAGTACAGATTGGTCTTCCTACTTTGATATTTATTTATACCAAAGAACTACAAGAACATAAATGCCACTCTTGGGATAATCCTAATGCTGGGGCTGAACAGAATACACATTGCATCTGTCTCATTTGCAGTAAAGTGAAGGCATGCTTAGGTATAGTCCTGCTAATGAAGGACAAAGTTGAAGGTCAAATGTAGTCTTCAAAATGAATGTGTCATCATGAAACTGAGAGAAATGCATTAAGAAGTTTTCTTAAAATATCAAATAAGGAAGAAAGGGAAAAGGAAAATCTAGATCTTTGGTTTTATTATTCCTTTTTCTTTTAAGCCACTTAAGGATTCTGCTCAAGACTTTAGTGCTCATATGAAAAATTAATGATGGGTTTTTGCTAGACAGAAAGCTTTCTTATTTTGCACATGATTAACAAAGAAAACTCAATGCAGAAGTGAGATACACAGCAGGGGGTGGTTCTCTCGAAGGCCAGCTCACAGCTTCACACCAGAACATTTACTGACATGGGAAAATACTCACTTTTATCCAAAGACAGTTAAACAGATAGGATATGTGCAGGGCTGTACATAAGAATAACAAGGAACAGATACTCAACAAAGGAAAATGTCAACCAAAATAAACAAACAGCCTCGCAGCAGGCTGACCCTGCACCATGCCTGTGGGCTGTTTTGAGTCTACTGCAGAGCCAAGTGCAATGTTAGTGCTTGCTAGTTATTGTCAGGAAGTAGGTTATCAGCTGAAGGGCTGGAGGGTGGCTTCAGATACTCTTCTTGTAGCAGAAGAAAAGCCAAGGACATGTAGGCAGAATGCATAAGCCAGATCTGCATGCTTTTCACATGCTATTTTGGTTTGATGTTCCTCACCTACAAAGGTCTCATTCTGTGGGGGCTGGGGTACTTTTCTCACAGGTCTTTTCCTGTATGTAACATCACAGCATAAGGCCATGTGAGCTTGTCCAACTCAAGCAGCCTGGTTTAACTCTGTTGTTCCTGTGCATTCCTTGCAATTTTTAAATCTTCTTATTTTTGTCTAGACCTCTAACTTGGTGTATCTTCTGGGGATTCAGAAGGGCCATCAGCTACCAGCACCCAAAGGAGGAAAGCCAGCCAGATAAGGTATAATTTGTCCAAATTTTACTGGAAGTGCAGTAAGCTTTATTCCTTTTATTCATTACTGGTTTATATTTATGATTTGCTCCCTAGTAAAGTAGGACCTTATAAATATTTGTTAAATACATTAATGCACTCCAAAGAGTTGATTGGGTTTATGAATCTCAGGTCAGACTTAGGGTTTCAGATGTCAAACAGGAACAAAACAGATCATCCTGGGTAAAGTGGTCCAGAAAGCTTTTTTTCCTTTTCTTCTTAGACAAGCAAATGGAATGTGATCCCCTAAAATACTGCCATTATGAACTACAAGCTATATTTATCTGTAGGCTCAAAAAGGAATTGTTAGCTTTGAAAGTACTGTGTGTAAGTATATATGAAAGGTGCCAAATTAGTGTCAAATGAACAAAAGTGATGTTCCAGAGAGTTGATTTCATTAAAGCTTTGTTCCTTGTAGCAATAATGAAACTTTCCCATGCTTTCTGGATTGCCTCTTGCTTTTGAGGAAAGGAGATGTGGTGAAAGTTAAAGTTGGTAAGAACTGCAGAAGGAAGCAAGGTAGGGTTTATTTTGAATAATAAATTGTTATTTCAAAATGATAGAGAATGAGTTATACTAGATTTAAAAAGACATTAAGCTTCAAATAGAGCATCTGATAGTAGCACTTATGAGCTTTTCTAAAAGGCTTCATGTTTTGCCTGATTTGGTTATAGTTTGTTTGCATGAGCAGTTCTTTTGAAATTATCTACAGTGGTGGCACTGAACTGCAGTGACTAGTGTACAGTTACAGACCCACACAGACTGAATGATTGAACTGACCAACCGCCATTTTCACAATTCAACAATTATGTGGTTTCTTTTCCTTGTGGATTTTTCAATCAGAACCCTGCAGGAATAGAATGAGTGGAGTTTTTATTTTGTTATTATGAATGTTTTGATATTGCAGTAATGATTTTTTGATATTTGATAATAAAACCTTGAGATTATAGTAGTGAAAGCCTTGGAGTAGCTTTCATAATCTATTGATTTTATGTTTCATAGTGGTGATTTTTTTTTCTTTATAACCATCAGTTGTTTGGTTTCTTTATTTCCGTGGATATTTCTTTCTGTTTTTGTCTACCAGCATGTGCTGCTACTTACTAAGTATATACAGATAAGTATACTTAAATTACCTTATCAAGTGCTACTAAACAACTGCAGAGCAGCACAACTCAGGTTTCATACTACATCATAATATTCAGAGGGAGCTTTGCTTCAGAAAAAAAAAAAGAAAGATCAGACCCTATGTGAGGGCAGGTGGGGTGTTTTTGACTGGTGAGATTATGTTACAATCTGTAACTGAAGATTTAGGCAAACAGTAGGTTTTAAGAATTAGTATAATTTGTACTGTTCAATTGTAAAATCTCTAAAACAGAAATTGTGTGGCTGTGTGTCATCCACAGAACATCCTGAAGATGACATAATTGTAACTACAGCTGTGAAGTGCAGAACCTGAGGCTTGCCTATGAGAGCTGTGCCCTGTGCTCCTTGGAGCCTCTTGCTGATGTATGCCACTGGGTATCCATAATGCACCCTCATCAGCTAAGATGCAGTTGTTGCACTGGCTTGTCCAAACTAAGCCTTGTGCTGATGAGCAGCAATAGTGATGAATGTTGGTTTGTCCTTTGGCTGCTGCTGAATGCTCAGTAACAGTGGGGATTTGTGTCTCCTTCCTCTCTGTCACTGAAGGGAGCAATGCAAATAACTTGTGAGAGAGAAGCAATATTATGTTTATTGTTGCAAGATAGCGGTTTAACAGAGTAATAATCATAAATATGACACAAACAAGTTATGTGTTGGCTGTCAGCAGATGACTGTGAAACCTCAAGGAGTCTTCCTTGAGAAGGCTCAGGGGGAGCTCCCAAGCCACAGCCTGCTGTGGTTCCAGAGAGCTCCAAGAGGTCTTGCCTAGAGTCACTATTTACAGGATCATGAGATGATTGACTTTTAGAGAGTAGTTTTTCATTATTTGGGTCCTTTTCTGTTTTTGGCTATGACATAGCCAAATATCCTAGCATGTAATTGTGCCTTCATCAATTAGCTACATCACCAGAGCTCTGGATGTGGTTGGGGGAGATCTGATCATCCCGTGCCTGTAGCCTATAGGTAACTGGGAGATGATGTAGGGTCAGGCTCCATCATGCTCCGCAGGTAACAGGAATGATGCTGTGATAGCGTGTAGACCTGCTATATAGAGAAAAAAGTAATGGTCTTGTGTGAGAGCTGCTTCACCACTCTCAACCCAGACAAAAATGTCCATGAATTCTTGCAGATATGCATTTATTTTTTGAGACATGCAATGCTTTTGTGTTTTGGCTGAAATTGTCTCACAAGCTGGAAAGTTTCTTTGAGGCAGTGTGAGAGAAAAACAAGGACAGACCAACAGACAAACAGCAGTGGCATGACCCTTATTTCCTTAGGAAACAAAGCTAAAAAAGAAAATGTAACCCCAGACCTTTTGCTGAGGGCTTTGAAAGCCAAGATAAGAATGTATGTATCCCAGATCAGAAAAGTCATCTGTGGAGATTACTGTGTTCTTGTGCCTGTATTAAAGGAATCAAGAAAAGAAACCAGTTGTGAATAGCTCTTAAACCCTATTAAATCAATGCTATTATTATAATTATTAATGAGAACATTAGCGTGTGTTAAACTTTTCAAATCACTTGGCACAACAGAAGATGGAATGGGCTGCCTGGAGGCCAGAGTGTAGATGTGCATGCAGAGGTGTCCCTGGCTCTGACTCCACTCATGGAGCACTGAGGAGTGGGCTGCTGTCATATACTGTGCTGGTTAAACCAAACAGGAGAGGAGGCTGACATCAGGATCCCTTCCCCAGATCAGGCCTAGAACAGAGAGCAGAGAAGATTTTGATTTTTGTTATGGGCAGCAGCAAGGAGGTAGAGGTGTGGAGCGAGCTCTGAAGACAAAAGCCACGCGTCTTCCCAGGGCCATGCTCACCTACACACTGTAGTCTCTGAGAGGCAATTTGTAAACATTTAGGTGGGTGTTCAGTATCTGCATGATGTGACTTTAAAGCTTTATTGAAGCTCTTCAGTCAATTGACCTTGAGAGATCCTATCGTGTGTGCTGGTGGTCGTGTGGTTGATGTATTTCCATACGAGGCACTAAGCCCTTCTGTATTGGAAAAGTCATTTGGTCTGTTAGAACTTGCATGGAAAAATACAAATATTTCATAAGGACAACCTGGCAGATTATTCTCAGGCTATTGATTCCACATTTTGTTCTGCTGAAAACCTGCTGCTAAACAGACCTCCCTACTGGAGAGACTAAGCAAAATGGCCATTAGATGGAGAGGCTCTGGGGATTTATTGATTAGACATGAGAACACTAATCATGCAATAGGAAGGATTGAGCATGCTGTTGTGATGACTATTTGCATAAAAAGCTAACATTTGAGTATTGGGAAGCTAGATGCTGTCAGAACATTAACAATAGCTGTCCCAGATCTGATCATATCCCTTGCCACATCCAGCAGGGCAGCCAGTTCCTCAGGCTTCTCATTTTCCAGCATCTAAACAAACAATAAGTTAGCAAATATATTTGCTGTGCAAAGTAGATATTGAAAATGAAAATCCTATCTCCAGCAAATCTACAGGATATTGTTTTGTCTCTCAAGTATACTTAAATAGCATCAATTTTGGATTTTTGAAATGGCTAATGATTTTGTATGATTCTTATAATCCAGAACTCAGTTTAATTAATTGCAGTCAGTTCTTGTAATCAAATTCTTGTAAACTTTCCTTCCTCCTGACAAAATGCTAATGTCATCTTCAAGTATTCCAGACTCAAAAATGAGGAGGCCCTTAGAATGATGAGCAAAACTTTTGTATGGTTTATTCTTTCCCACTTCAAGTCTCTAACCTTTTTTTTTAATGCAGTTCATCAGAGATACAGACTAAAAATGAAGATAGAATCTTTCTACACTCTTTATAGACAAATGCCAAATTTTACACACATTTGTATACGCCATTTATAACTCCAAGCTTTATCACTTAAAAAACAAAACAAAACAAAAAACATGAAATTTTAACACTCAACATCAAACAGGCAACTTACTAAGCTGTGTTTGCCACAAAACTCACCTGTATGAGATACTTTGAAGTTTCCACATAGATGATTTCTGTCTTTTGTCAATGTCAGCTAGTAGGGTTAGTCATGAAAAACACCCACAAGTGTATTTGTTGAGGACTTCACTTGAAGAGCAGTGTAGATAACCAAAAAATAAAGCATGCTAACAGAAAGGGTGTAGGTCATTGGGGGGCCCTAAACAGGCTCTGAGCAGAACTCTGAGGGGTGTGCAGGCGTTTGTCAGAGACAGGGGAAAGTCAGAGAAACAAATGGAGGAAGGTTGTCTATTTCATATTGTGTGGTCAGCCTTTGAGAGAGATGCAACCTTCGTGTGCAATTATTAAGCACCACTGGTGAAAATGCATAGCTAATGGTGGTGACTATGTTGAAAAATGGTGTTCTGTAGCTGAGCCCTACCAAGGAGGGTTATTGTGCTCTTTGTGTCTGTTGTAATTTCCATGGAAATAAATGAGAGGCAGTACTTTCGAAGCAAGCTCCATAGATGCCCTTGTGTAGCCACCTTGCAACCTAAACCCCACAGCAAAATATTTACTGCCTCTCCTAGAAGTGTCTAGAAGTAGAGGCTGAGACAAATAATAATTTAGTACTGTTTGTGCTAGGGCTGGAGCCAATGAAAAGTCTGGTCTGTATTTCTGTACACATGTGGATGCAAACTGCACTGGCCCAGAACTGCTGGAGCTTCCTGTGCTGCTATGCTTTGAGGCATGTTGGGAACAACCAGTTCTGAATGAATGTATGAAGACACTGCAGTGCCCATGATGTAGCTCCTCAAGTGCAATATGGCTTTGTTTATAAAGATAGAAATCAAGATAACCCAGACTGGGCTCTTTATTAGATTGGACTCCCCATGACTGT